CGTGGTCGTCGCAACGGGAAGCCTGTTGAAACCACATCAGAATATTTTGTCGGCAGACCAGTCGTGTTGGATCGGCGGGGCTCAGTGTCAACACTAGGAGGTCCCGTCCGGTTGACAGAGAGGTAGATAGCCGGGAGATGGGCCTGAGGCTAGCTCAAGGCTAACTGGTGCTTGCTATAGGGCAATGGTAATCAGCCAACAACAGGTTGCAGCTAGCTAGCTAGCTGGTTGCGATGATCCGGCGCTAGGGTCCAGTGATTCCGGCAGAAAGTCCAATAAGTTCTGGGTCGATAGCACGCTGTGCAGACTGGCCGACGAATTGTCCAGGCTAGAGCTAGAGCTGGCTGGTGGATAGTGTAGGCCACGGACAGTGGTGAAGACGCTAACGGTGACTAATAACAGGTAGCCACTATTTTCAGCTTACGGTTCTTGATGAAAGTTATAAAGAAATAGTAGAATCCTTTCCACGTTGGGTGAGGCGGGTTGCAGGAAAGTATATTTAGTTAAAAAATGAAAAGTAAAAATTGAGAAATATATACAAAATAGACAAAAAAACAAGAAACGGGATATTTACACAGGGACAATGAAATAAAAGCGACCGCACTGCTACGCCATCTTGGGATATAGTAAGGCTGTTAGTTGCTCTGCCTCATCCCAAGGGTTCTCAGCTACACTACCAGTCAAAACTTTGGACACCTACTCATTCAAGGGTTTTTATTTTTACAATGTAGAATAATAGTGAAGACATCAAAACTATGAAATAACACATATGGAATCATATAGTAACAAAAAAAAACAAATCTAAATATATTTTATATTTGAGATTCTTCAAATAGCCACCCTTTGTCTTGATGACAGCTTTGCACACACTTGGCATTATTCTACAATGTAAAAAATTGTAAAAATAAAGAAAAGCCACTGGGCCTCCTGTAGCTCAGTTGGTAGAGCATGGCGCTTGCAACGTCAGGGTTGTGGATTCGATTCCCACGGGGGGCCAATATGAAAAATGTATGCACTCACTAACTGTAAGTCGCTCTGGATAAGAGCATCTGCTAAATGACAAAAATTAAATGAATGAGTAGGTGTCCAAACTTTTGACTGGTAGTGTATAAACGCAGCTTACCGGGGGAGACCATGTGAACTACAAATGTCAATCATTGCTTGCCATACGGTTTTCGAAACATATGGAACGTATCTCTCATATCAGCGAGAAAAGATCTTTCAAATTAAAAAGACACACTTACTGTAGCAGGTTTGCACAGATCCTTATGGCTGTGTGCCTCGAGCCAACGAACTACACTTCCTCCCCAGTTACGCTTACACACAGGTGTTCGAGCATGCTTGATAGCACAGGTTTTCGCCTCTGTCTGTCTTCCGTAAACAAGTGCTGTAATGTGGAGATATGGCAGTTTGGGAACACTAACCCTAACTTTACCCCGTGTAGCTCAGTTGGTAGAACATGGCGCTTGCAACGCCAGGGTTGTGGATTCGATTCCCACAGGGGCCCAGTATGAAGAAAAAAGATATGCACTCACTAACTGTAAGTCGCTCTGGATAAGAGCGTCTGCTAAATGACTAAAATGTAAATGTATCAATTTAACCTTTTTTTAATTATTATTATTTCTCTCTGATATGAAAGATAAGGTCCTTATGCTTCCAAAACCGTACTGCAAGAGACATGTGTTAATGTTCAGATTGAGCATCTTGGCTCTTAACAAAACACCCTGTACAGAAGATGCCTTCATCCAATGACTTATGTGTAATGTATGGAACTGACAGTCATGACCAAGGGTTATTAGTGTCTATGAATGGGCTAGGCTGTGAGAGGAAGAGACTGTCTGTGAATCTGACTAGTTCTTAAACAATCAAATTCCTAGGTCTGTAAGCTTGGCCAGAAATGGCCCATTCAGCCCAGTCAGTTCACTGGTCAATGGTCTAAGGTAGACAGTGAATGACTTCCTATAAAAAAATAAAAAAATATTTTAAGGTATTCATAATGTGTTTACTAAGTCTTCCATACAACATAACACATTTAATAGACCAATGGGTTTGGGCAGAGACGTTTTGGGGTTATGATCAGGTAAACGGGGCAATAATGCAACTCACATTTACAGCTACTGTTAGACATTTGTAAATCAATCTTCAAAATCAAGGGCTAGCTATATTTCATGAGTTGAAAGTACTACTACTGACTGTGAATTGATGAAACAGCTAGTTTATAGCTGAGCACATTCGAACCGATGAGCAGTGTTGTTCTGGCACTCATCCCGGAAACGCAGAGTAAATGGCAAAGGCAAAAGGCTAGACAGCTTCTTTTGTAAACAACTTGAGACGTCTCGGGAAAGTCGTTCACGTGTAGCTAGCTAGTTAGGTTACTCGATGTGTTCATTTAGCATGCATATTCGTAACTATGTATCCTTTATATTAACCAGTCAGCAATACAAAATTGTAAAACAGATGGATGTTAGCCAGCTTGTACGGACAGCTAGCTAGTTAGCTAAATCTAGCTAGCTAAATCTAGCTAGCTAGCCAACTAACTAACATTAACTACCTTCGGTCAGTCCGGTGAATGTCCGCTGTTTTGCTCTAAGAAAAATATCCTCGGCTTCAGCCATGGCTTCACTTGTCCCTCACAGGTTAACGTTCGTATTCTTATCTGGCTTGATGATGATCCTATTTTGTCAATAATTAACTGACTCTTGGGGTTAGCCAGTGTAGCTAGCTACTTACGGTGAATACCAAACGCAAAGTCGAAAGCCCCGCCTAGTTCTAAAATGTCTACAACAGCCCCTTGTTGCTGACGACGGTGACTTCCAGACAGTGGCGAGGGGATCAATAAACCCATCAACTTCGGGACACACTCGTGACTTGAATAATGCAATTCATATTAAATAATAAAACAAGCATGACTTTCAAGTTTGGGATTCAGCCGTAGGCTCGTCTTAAATCGACTACATCAGCTATCTATTATATTTGCCTGGCTGCATATAATTTTTGCGACCGCGCTATCCGCAATCCTTGAGACGTCCCTACCCCATTGAAGTTGACGTTTAAAATGGTTAGGTTAGGTAAGCGTTATGGTTGGGTAAGCTCTACGACCCCCACAAGCATCTTGGGACTCGTCTGAAGTCGGTAGCCGACTTCTGCCTGAGCGTCAAACAGTTTGGGCTACACACTAATATGACTCCTCTGCGTAAATGTGAGACTCGCACGAACACGTTTTTTTTTTTTTTTTTGCAATAGGACGACTACAAGACTCGTCTGATGGTCCCCGTACCAGTCGAAAAAATGAATGGAAGTATATATGGAGACTGTTTAGTGACATAACAAATATTTCCTGATCTTTCGATACTTTTTTTGGGGGGGGGGGGGGCTCTATCTGTTGTTCCATGAAGTGAGTCTTATTCAATGCGTTTGAATGGGCTCATTACATTTACGTCATTTAGCAGGCGCTCTTATCCAGAGCGACTTACAGTTAGTGAGTGCATACATTTTTCATACTGGCCCCCCGTGGGAAACGAACCTACAACCTTGGCGTTGCAAGCGCTATGCTCTACCAACTGAGCTATAGGGGACTACATAGCAGTAAGGTCAAATATCCATGGTTCTGCACAGTTTTTTGTTTTAAGATGAGGTGAGCTTTAATCAGGTGAAAGACAGTGTGTGGATTGTGATAGCCTATGGGAAATATGAATTATAAATAATATATGGGAATGAACAGCCTACATCGGCAGAACTCTATCAGCCAAGGTTTGTGAGGCATAGAAAATAGCATTTAGTGATGAATAGAAAAACGTCTCTGGGTATGATGACACTGCTTGGAACGAGACAAATCAAATCAAATCAAATTGTATTGGCCACATGCGCCGAATACAACAGGTGCAGACATTACAGTGAAATGCTTACTTACAGCCCTTAACCAACAGTGCATTTATTTTTAATAAAAAAAGTAGAATAAAACAGTGTTGAGAAAAAAAGAGCAGAAGTAAAATAAAATAACAGTAGGGAGGCTATATATACAGGGGGGTACCGGTGCACAGTCAATGTGCGGGGGCACCGGCTAGTTGAGGTAGTTGAAGTGATATGTACATGTGGGTAGAGTGGAGGGGCAGTGCAAATAGTCTGGGTAGCCATGATTAGCTGTTTAGGAGTCTTATGGCTTGGGGGTAGAAGCTGTTGAGAATTGTATGTGTGGACTCTTATTCAGTCCAGTGAATAAAGGTATATAGCCTACATAATTTCATTAGCATACAGGTCGAGTGTATTTGTATTTATTTATTGTGTAGCCTATGCTACTCATGCTGGCAAAACAACCCCCCTATAACCCTCTCTCTAATCTCATTTGGAAGTTACCATAACGGAAATGTCTGCATCCGTGAGCATATTTTGTCCGTGCACAAATTATGAGAAAAAACTGAATTGCTCCGCAGCACAACTCGACCCATATTTCCTCATGTGCGTTTTGGGCTGTCACAGACTCAGTCATGTTTAACAATACAGTAATCTCTCTCTCTCTCTTCGTCGGAATGCCTCCTCCTCCTCCCCTCCTCTCCTACTCTCTTTGCGCACCATGCTCTCTCCCACCTCAGCTCTGATTTTCTCACTCACGCTCAAATCACTTGTGCAGTTCTATCTCCACCGACTCTCGTGCGTGCGAGCGCGCTGATGGGTGTGAGAATTGAAGTAGCCTAGTTTTGATAACGTAATGGAAATACTTTTCTAAGAACACCTGTAGAGAGATTGTGCGCTGAGGAACAATTCTGAGGAGGACAATATCCATATAAATTCAACGTTTTATTTGAAAAAAATGACCGAATGATTCTCTGTACCTTCATGGATGACGAGAACATTCGTGAAAACGCTCACCAACACGGATGGTAGTGTTCTGCAATTTGGATATATGTTTCTGGACTTTTATAATACCAAGACCGTGCGCTCTTCTTCGAGTCTTTTCTTACATGCGCTAGAGGAGCTGAAAGGAAGTGGGGAAGGACAGTACAATGAGGGGGAAATACTTTCTGCTGGGTTACTTGTTGGTCAAAGTTATGGCGCTGGTCTGCAAGGCGGACGGAGAACCAGGACAAGTGGAGGGCTTTGTCATGATGACGACGTGCAATGGATCCAGGGAGGACGAGGGCGCAGGCTTCTCGGAGCCCCCGCACACGGAGGACAGGTGCCGGGGGTACTACGATGTGATGGGCCAGTGGGACCCGCCGTTCGTTTGTAAAACGGGGGATTATCTGTACTGCTGCGGCACCTGTGGCTTTCGGTTCTGCTGCTCCTACAAGACCTCGCGGCTGGATCAGAGCACCTGTAAAAACTACGACACTCCGGTGTGGATGATGACAGGTCAAACCCCGTTTAAGAAAAACGACCTTCGGCACGACCCCACCAAAGATAAAACTAATTTAATCGTGTATATCATCTGTGGAGTAGTGGCTATCATGGCACTTGTTGGGATATTCACCAAACTCGGTCTGGAAAAGGCGCACCGACCCCAGAGAGAGAATATGACTAGGTGGGTTTATGGGGTTCTGCTGCTGTTGAGCGCGCCGCGAGCATTTTTGTTGTGCTTGTTTTCAAGGAGCTTGCTTGGTGCGCACATGTAGGCTAGAGCGCGCGCCACAATAATATTTGACGCTTGAGTTCTAGCCTCACGCTTGCCATGTTTATATTGGTAAACTACTATAGGCTACCTCATTCTAATAGCGTTGTCCCTGAAATAAGAAATCGAGGATATCATCTAAACTTGGTTCTTGTTTAAAATTATAATAAGACATCACCCAATCAATGAATTTTACGCGCACAATAAATGCCTCTTCAGTGGATAGAAAGTAGCTGTCATCGACAGTTTATTAATTGGACTAGATTGTATAATGTCATCACCTGTGTGGGCTACTTGCCTGATTCATTCGCAGAGAGCGCGAGGGCGTATGTCTCTTGCCGTGGATAGCCACATGCTCTCTGCTCCGCAACATGCGCATGCTATTCCTTTATTTGGAGATATTTCTCTAACAATGGATCAATAGGTCCTATTCGTTTTCGTCATGAAAATGTCTTAATTCTCAGAATTGTATATTTTTCGAATTAATGTGGAACCCGCTCACTCAACCACACAGTCAAATTAACTAATTCATATGAAAATGTTGCTTTATTTGAAAGCAGAGATGCAATATTTGATATGATGTGATCATCTTGAACTCGCTTCCCTGTGCACACAACTGTGCAGCATGGTTGTCATGAAATCAAGCATTATGCACAGTTCTTCATAGAATATATTTCTTTGTCTGTCTGGCCATTTCTTACATCTGGATAAATCTCTCTCTCATTCTCACACAGGGCTGTCCAGAGCGTGTTACAGGTCGGTTGTCCAGGTGAACAGTTCCAGGGGGAGGACACCCTTGGCATGCACACACAGCACTATGACACAAGGGCCAACAACCTCCGTAAGTTTCACAGTTTTGGCCCTATAGGCAGTTGTTTTTGGTGGTATGGTTGTGGACAGCTGTGTGTGGATGTATCTGCCACTGCAGAGACATTTGAGACTGGAAGGGTTGGCCATGGAGGCCCCGTTACAGAAAAATATAATGTGGGCAGGTTGCCTGGTTGCATATTGTACACAGACTCTCAGTGAAGCATTTGGTCTGTAAGGGTATGTATGGGTTTCAACCCTTGTATCATAGCCAGGTTTATTAGTTTCAAATGTGTCATTCATTTTATAATCTTAGATGGAGGGAAACAAACTGCCTTCTGCTTTGTAAATCCAGTGATAATTCACTGTTTTATTTTTGTCCCATGCCTACATGATTCAAGATGTGTAAAAAGGTGGGGGGAGAGAGAGCGAGAGAGAGAGAGAGAGAAATAAATAAATAAATAAAGCGAGAGAGAGGGAGAGAGAACAACCGAGCAGTGTGAATGGCATCTATTTCTGTTGCGTCCCGTGGGCTGCAACCACAGTTATGGGCTTTGTATTTTAACACAGATCAACCAACTCAGAAACACAGAAGAGTCTTAATCTGGAGTATTTAATAAACATCTCATGCTGTTGTACTACTGATTCTGATTCCAGTATGATTACATCACCCCCTTTTGTGGCTGGATGTGTTTCGACCTAGAAATTGAAAAATGATCCAAACACAAAGCAAGTGGCACATCTAAGCCTCCCTCCTACTTGAACATTTTTATTTTAAGACTTACTGACTGAGACTGTGAGTGTAGCTGACAGTGGTGTTGTCAGTGGAATTTGTCCTTTTTTCTTGATTCTATCAAACACAATCAGACTGACACACCTTATCATCCGGTGTGACGGTACTGGGCTCCTAACAGCTCTCCTTCGAATCATTTTAAAGTAGGGGCCTTTGTCTCTAATGTCTTCCGGGGTGCTGGTGTCTGCTGTCATCGATTATATCTAGAAATAACTGCCACTGATGCTTCGAAGAGGCAGATGTACCAGGTCTACCTGGCAATGAAAGTTTCAACCTCAAGGGATCTTTCCTGGTAAAAAAAAAAGGTTGTATACTGAGTGTACAAAATATTAGCAACACCTGCTCTTTCCATGACTGACCATAGACTGACCAGGTGAATCCAGGTGAAAGCTATGATCAGTTATTGATGTAATTCAATATTAGGAAGGTGTTCCTAATGTTTTGTACACTCAGTGTAGATAGATAAAGTACCAGACGTGTGGAGGTCTAAAGCGAGACTCTCTGAAGTACGTATAATAATGTATGCTAGTTGGCTGTGGTCCTTGCTCTTTTTGGGGGAATGGGGGGGGGGGGGGGGGGGGGATAAAAGGTTAATGTGGATGTATTACAGTATTTGCCTTGAAGATACATTTAAGGTATAAGCTAAATCTTGTGAGATGCCGAGTAAGGTGAAACACACTACTGTTCACAGTTCGGCTGTGTACGTCTCTTGTTGATCACATTCTATTTATAGAGCAGACCATCAATTGATTATAGTTTATGGCCAGATTACCCTGTTACTGACATCATCAATAGATCCCATCTTAGGTGTCCTCACCCAGCTTTGGAGAAGAATGCCCATGGCAGTTTGTAAGGCTGATAGTCATAACAATCACTGTTTATGCAGGGCAATGGTGGATAACATTTTGGGATTAGCTACTTTCTCCCCCAAGCATTTTCCCCAAGCACCTCTGAGTATAAGTTAAGGACAAGACTAGAGCAAGCGTTTTGTTCCTAACGTCGCTTTGTTTTGACAGCATATGGGATGTTATGCGTAAAAACCTTTTACCATGTATCGCTCATGTGCGACGTCTCACACAACACATCAACTAATACATCAGAGCTCAGATCTCGTTATGTTAAACCCCATGAGTACTGGGGCCTCTGCTCTGTACCCCTTTGCACATAAAAAATTGACCGTTTAGCCCTGAACCAATCAGCCCTCCTATCCCCTGAACCAATCAGCCCTCCTATCCCCTGAACCAATCAGCCCTCCTATCCCCTGAACCAATCAGCCCTCTTATCCCCTGAACCAATCAGCCCTCCTATCCCCTGAACCAATCAGCCCTCCTATCCCCTGAACCAATCAGCCCTCCTATCCCCTGAACCAATCAGCCCTCCTATCCCCTGCTGGGCTGGTGATCTCAATGTAATGTAATCACAAAACTGAATACTTTTTTAGAATTCTTAAAGAGCTCAAAATCCTGTGTCTCTGAGCCTTCAGCATCAAAGCACAAAGTGAAAGACGGAGTGAGAGATTGAAATTGAAATAAAGAGGGAAAGAGACACAGAGAAGGAGAGAGAGAGAGAGAGAGAGAGAGAGAGAAGGGGAGAGGTAGAGAGACAGAAAGAAAGAGAGGAGAGAGAGAGAGAGAGAGAGGACGACATGTCGAGACTGTCAGAGAGGATCAGTGCAATGTCAACAGTTAAATATATTTTGAGTGACAAAAGTTGACATACTGCAGGCAGAATGTAACCTCGTTTACATCTGTGAAGGGCAAAGTGTCATACAAGCTATATGAAGCCACTGCTGCTTCTGGTAGAATTGCAAAGAAAAAGTTTGTTGTTCTTCACATTGTCAATCAACCTGAACTCATGTGGGACATTGAGAAAAATAGAGGATATAAATGTATTATTGAGAGCCCCAGAAAGAGAGCAGGGTAGGCTTTCCATCCGTTGGCTGACTGAGACGGTGATCTGTATTCACAACTCATGTTCACAAAGATAATTACCTGCCTAGCAGTTATAATCTTCCCTTATCTCCAGATATGCATTAGGCACTTGTTATATTTAATAGGTAATTGCTTGAAGACCAAACAGCATGAAGAAAGGCTCTGTCTGCAAAACAATCTCCACTCTTGAATTTCTCTAACCTCATCTACTGTTTATTAGTTATGCCAAAATGGATCACCTGCAGCTGTGTGTGTGTGTGTGCGTTGCGTATATGCGTACGTGCGTGTGTGTACGTGGTGTGTGTGGTGTGTACGTGGTGTGTGTACGTGGTGTGTGTGTGTGTGTACGTGGGGGTGTGTGTGTACATGGTGTGTGTGTATGTGGTCGGTGTGTGTGTGTGTACGTGGGGGTGTGTGTGTACATGGTGTGTGTGTACGTGGGGGTGTGTGTGTACGTGGTGTGTGTGTACATGGTGTGTGTGTACGTGGTGTGTGTGTGTGTGTGTACGTGGGGGTGTGTGTGTACATGGTGTGTGTGTACGTGGGGGTGTGTGTGTACGTGGTGTGTGTGTACATGGTGTGTGTGTACGTGGTGTGTGTGTTTGTGAACGTGGTGTGTGTATGTGGTGTGTGTGTGTGTGTACGTGGTGTGTGTGTGTGTGTACATGGTGTGTGTGTGTGTGTGTGTGTGTAAGTGGGGGTGTGTGTGTGTGTGTAAAATGTAACACTACTGCTGGGTTTATCAGATCAGAGTTTTGTTGAGAGGTACAACTTCACCTGTCACCAAAGTCTCTTGTGTCAGTTCTTATCCGGACTCTTCCATCCTGACTCCTTCAAAGCCAGGCATCCTGGAAGCAGCCACAGACAGGCATCCTGGAAGCAGCCACAGACAGGCATCCAGGAAGAAGCCACAGACAGGCATCCAGGAAGAAGCCACAGACAGGCATCCAGGAAGAAGCCACAGACAGGCATCCAGGAAGAAGCCACAGACAGGCATCCAGGAAGAAGCCACAGACAGGCATCCAGGAAGAAGCCACAGACAGGCATCCAGAAAGCAGCCACAGACAGGCATCCAGAAAGCAGCCACAGACAGGCATCCAGGAAGCAGCCACAGACAGGCATCCAGGAAGCAGCCACAGACAGGCATCCAGGAAGCAGCCACAGACAGGCATCCAGGAAGCAGCCACAGACAGGCATCCAGGAAGCAGCCACAGACAGGCATCCAGGAAGCAGCCACAGACGGGCACAAAGCAAAGGAAAATAAAGAAAATGTTCCTTTTCAATGTGCAGGAACAGGAGCAAGCTAAGGATAAAACAAAATATTCAGGGACACTAGGGAGGACAAGAGTTCACATCAAAATAATTCCTTATTATTGGCAAAATACATAATAATCAAGGAAAAAATGTATAACATGAACTTCCACTGTCCACCTAAGAGTTGCACAGTTTTAAAAAATCCTCCAAAGTGAATCAGAAAGTGTTTGAATCTACAGACAGAACCAGGCCCAGACGCGCTCTTCCCGGGCCTCGTTCCTGTGCCCTTGCTCAGGCTAATTACCATAATGTAGGTCCCCTCAGCAGCACCGGAGATCCATTAGGCCTTGTTCATTAGGGCTGTGGGCCTCCCAGCCTCCTCAGATGGCTCTGGTTGACCAGACACAGTAATCAGCTCAGTCAGACACACGGGGATGCTGGGACTCACTGCCCCTTGGAAGAAATAGAAGTTGAGTAGAAAACAGAGAAAACTAAAGTGACAAAGTTGAATAAGGGAAGTAGAATAGCCACACGCTGTTGAAATGCTTTCAGAGCTCTATCTAAGGATGTTTATCATGGAGGTCCCCTGTATGTCCTGATTGTCCTCCATCTGACTGATTACTGGACTTGGCCTCTTCATATGTATAATTGTCCATCTTGTTGTCATGGTGTAATAATAATAGCAGCTGTAAGCAGGCTGAATATCTCAGCAGGGTGTAATCAGCCCTCTCTCCTTGTAACACCCTGGGAATATTAATCAGTTCATTTACAGCCAGAGACTCAAATCAAATGTTTTGCAGGTAATTACGTGTGTGTGTTTGTGTGGACTGGGTCAGAAGAGGGCAAGTGAATAGCCTGTCATGTCTTCAAGGGAGCTAGTCATCAGACATTTATACTCTATATACACTACCAGTCAAAAGTTTGGACACACCTACTCATTCTAGGGTTTTCTTTATTTTTACTATTTTTTACATTGTAGAATAATAGTGAAGACATCAAAACTATGAAATAACACATATGGAATCATGTAGTAACCAAAAAAGTGTTAAACAAATCTAAATATATTTTATATTTGAGATTCTTCAAATAGCCATCCTTTGCCTTGATGACAGCATTGCACACGCTTGGCATTCTCTCAACCAGCTTTGCCTTTTTTTGTATTTTGTATTTATTAGGGATCCCCATTAGCTGCTGTCAAGGCAGCAGCTACTCTTCCTGGGGTCCAAACTTATTAAAGCACTTACATTACATATAAAACAAAATATAAAACAGTACATCATATGACATTAATACACCACTATCTATCTACAATACAAAATGTTTAATACCACCATACACCAATATCACAATATGTGCATATGCATGTGTCTATACCCTTGTGTGTGTCTTTTCACAGTCCCTGTTGTTCCTCTTACAAAAACAAGCAGTGATGAAGTCAATCTCTCTTCCACTCTGAGCCAGAAGAGACTGACATGCATGTCATTAATGTTAGCTCTCCGTGTACTTTTAAGGGCCAGCCGTGCTGCCCTGTTCTGAGCCAACTGCAATTTTCCCAGGTCCCCCTTTGTGGCACCTGACCACACTACTGAACAGTAGTCTAGGTGTGACAAAACTAGGGCCTGTAGGACCTGCCTTGTTGATAGTGTTGTTAAGAAGGCAGAGCAGTGCTTAATTATGGACATACTTCTCCCCATCTTAGCTAATGTTGTATCAATATGCTTTGACCATGACAGTCTACAATCCAGGGTTACTCTATGCAGTTTAGTCTCCTCAACTTGCTCAATTTCCACATTATTCATTACGAGATGTAGTTGAGGTTTAGGGTTTAGTGAATGATTTGACCCAAATACAATGCTTTTAGTTTTGGAAATATTCAGGACTAATTTATTCCTTGCCACCCATTCCGAAATTAACTGCAACTCTTTGTTAAGTGTTGCAGTTATTTCAGTTGCTGTAGAAGCTGACGTGTATAGTGTTGAGTCATCCGCATACATAGACACACTGGCTTTACTCAAAGCCAGTAGCATGTCGTTAGTAAAGATGGAAAAAAGCAAGGGGCCTAGACAGCTGCCCTGGGGAATTCCTGATTCTACCTGGATTATGTTTGAGAGGCTTCCATTAAAGAACACCCTCTGTGTTCTGTTAGACAAGTAACTCTTTATCCACATTATAGCAGGGGGTGTAAAGCTATAGCACATAAGTGTTTCCAGCAGCAGACTATGATCGATAATGTCAAAAGCTGCACTGAAGTCTAACAAAACAGCCCCCACAATATTTCTATCATCAATTTCTCTCAGCCAATCAACAGTCAGTTGTGTAAATGCTGTGCTTGTTGAATGTCCTTCTCTATAAGCATGCTGAAAGTTTGTTGTTCATTTGTTTACAGTAAAATAGCATTGTATCTCATCAAACACAATTTCTTCCAATAGTTTACTAAGGGTTGGTAACAGGCTAATTGATCTGCTATTTGAGCCAGTAAAGGGAGCTTTACTATTCTTAGGTAGCGGAATGACTTTTGCTTCCCTCCAAGCCTGGAGGCACACACATTCTAGTAGGCTTACATTGAAAATATGGCAAATAGGAGTGGCAATATCAATTTTCCATCCAAGTTGTCAGACCCTGGTGGCTTGTCATTGTTGATAGACAACAATAATTTTTTCATCTCTTCCACACTCACTTTACGGAATTCAAAATTACAATGCTTGTCTTTCATAATTTGGTCAGATATACTTGGATATGTAGTGTCAGCAATTGTTGCTGGCATGTCATGCCTAAGTTTGATAATCTTGCCAATGATAAAATTATTAAAGTAGTTGGCAATATCAGTTGGTTTTGTGACGAATGAGCCATCTGATTCAATGAATGATGGAGCTGAGTTTGCCTTTTTTCTCAACATTTCATTTAAGGTGCTCCAAAGCTTTTTACTATAATTCTTTATGTCATTTATCCTTGTTTCATAGTGTTGTTTCTTATTCTTTTTATTTAGTTAGTCACATTATTTCTCAATTTCCAATATGTTTGCCAATCGGTTGTGCAGCCAGACTTATTTGCCATTCCTTTTGCCTCATTCCTCTCAACCATACAATTTTTCAATTCCTCATCAATCCACAGGGATTTACAGTTGAAGTCGGAAGTTTACATACACCTTAGCCAAATACATTTAAACTCAGTTTTTCACAATTCCTGACATTTAATCCTAGTAAAAATTCCCTGTTTTAGGTCAGTTAGGATCACCACTTTATTTTAAGAATGTGAAATGTCAGAATAATGGTAGAGAGAATGATTTATTTCAGCTTTTATTTATTTCATCACATTCCCAGTGGGTCAGAAGTTTACATACACTCAATTAGTATTTGGTAGCATTGCCTTTAAATAGTTTAACTTGGGTCAAACGTTTCAGGTAGCCTTCCACAACCGTCCCACAATAAGTTGGGTGAATTTTGGCCCATTCCTCTTGACAGAGCTGATGTAACTGAGTCAGGTTTGTAGGCCTCCTTGCTTGCACACGCTTTTTCAGTTCTGCCCACACATTTTCTATAGGATTGAGGTCAGGGCTTTGTGATGGCCACTCCAATACCTTGACTTTGTTGTCCTTAAGCCATTTTGCCACAACTTTGGAAGTATGCTTGGGGTCCATTGTCCATTTGGAAGACCCATTTGCGACCAAGCTTTAACTTCCTGACTGATGTCTTGAGATGTTGCTTCAATATATCCACATAATTTTCCTTCCTCATGATGCCATCTATTTTGTGAAGTGCACCAGTCCCTCCTGCAGCAAAGCACCCCCACAGCATGATGCTGCCACCCCCGTGCTTCACGGTTGGGATGGTGTTCTTCGGCTTGCAAGCCTTCCCCTTTTTCCTCCAAACATAACGATGGTCATTATGGCCAAACAGTTCAATGTTTGTTTCATCAGACCAGAGGACATTTCTCCGAAAAAGTATGATCTTTGTCCCCATGTGCAGTTGCAAACCGTAGTCTGGCTTTTTTATGGCGGTTTTGGAGCAGTGGCTTCTTCCTTGCTGAGCGGCCTTTCAGGTTATGTCGATATAGGACTTGTTTTACTGTGGATATAGATACTTTTGTACTTGTTTCCTCCAGCATCTTCACAAGGTCCTTTGCTGTTGTTCTGGGATTGATTTGCACTTTTCGCACCAAAGTACGTTCATCTCTAGGAGACAGAACGCGTCTCCTTCCTGAGCAGTATGACGGATACATGGTCCCATGGTGTTTATACTTGCGTACTATTGTTTTTACAGATGAACGTGGTACCTTCAGGCGTTTGGAAATTGCTCCCAAGGATGAACCAGACTTGTGGAGGTCTACAATCTTTTTTCTGAGGTCTTGGCTGATTTCTTTTGATTTTCCCATGATGTCAAGCAAAGAGGCACTGAGTTTGAAGGTAGGCCTTGAAATACATCCACTGGTATACCTCCAATTGACTCAAATGATGTCAATTAGCCTATAAGAAGCTTCTAAAGCCATGACATCATTTTCTGGAATTTTCCAAGCTGTTTAAAGGCACAGTCAACTTAGTGTATGTAAACTTCTGGCCCACTGGAATTGTGATACAGTGAATTATAAGTGAAATAATCTGTCTGTAAACAATTGTTGGAAAAATTACTTGTGTCATGCACAAAGTAGATGTCCTAACCGACTTGCCAAACTATAGTTTGTTAACAAGAAATTTGTGGAGTGGTTGAAAAACGAGTTTTAATGAGTATGTAAACTTCCGACTTCAACTGTAACTGTTTTTACAGTCATTTTCTTAATGGGTGCATGCTTATTAGTAACTGGAATAAGGAATTGTATAAATGTGTGAAGTGCAGTGTCTGTTTACTCCTCATTACACACCACGGACCAACATATATTCTTTACATCAACAACATAGGAATCACTACAAAACTTACTGTATGACCTCATATACACAATATTAGGCCCAGCCTTTGGAACTTTGGTTTTCCTAGATATGGCTACTATATTGTGATCACTACATCCAATGGATTTGGATACTGCTTTCAAACAAATCTCTGCAGCATTAGTAAAGATATGA